CTGATAGAAGTTTAAGTGCGTCAGTCATAACATTCCTCAAACTATGTAATAAATGTATAAATAAAACATTTTGAAGCAACTCTAGCAAAAAAAAAAAAAGATAATACTTGTGTTAAAGGAATGGACTTCTTTTTTCATAAAATATGATTACGTTTATAATTTAAATCAGTTGAATCAAAAATATATCCTTAGACTTAGCTCTATAATTACTATTTATTACCCTATAACTTTAAGACAGCAGACAGAGAGGAAAGTCACTCTTAGACATTAACCCCACCTATTTTGATTTTGGGAAAAATGCCTGCACAGCATTCCTCCTTCCTATCTCTTTGCTTCCTTTTCACCGGTTCTTTCTTGTATTATTTTATTCCATGTTTTGGCGTAAACCAATGAGTGGAGAGGCATAGTCAGGGGTGGAAGACAGAGAGAAGAGATGGCAGGCCATCAGGAACAGACATTCCAGTTCTTTTTGTTCCACCTCAATCCCTGTGGAATGCATCATAAAACTGAAGCAAAGCTATTAACGCTTCAAAAGATTACATTATTGGCCAGGTGCGGTGGCTCACGCCTGTCATCCTAGCACTCTGGGAGGCCGAGGGGGGCGGATCGCTCAAGGTCAGGAGTTGGAGACCAGCCTGAGCAAGAGCGAGACCCCGTCTCTACTATAAATAGAGAGAAATTAATTGGCCAACTAAAAATATATAGAAAAAATTAGCCAGGCATGGTGGCACATGCCTGTAGTCTCAGCTACTCAGGAGGCTGAGGCAGAAAGATTGCTTGAGCCCAGGAGTCTGAGGTTGCTGTGAGCTAGGCTGACGCCATGGCACTCTAGCCCAGGCAACAAAGTGAGACTCTGTCTCAAAAAAAAAAGATTACATTATTAATAATAGACATGTCTGTGTGTTAGCTATGAGGCATAAACAAGGCGTAAGAGTTCACTAAGATGAACAAGGTTAACTGAATTAACAGCATGGGAAGTCATTAATTAGATTGTTCAGCTGACCAAATCCATTTGGTGAATGGCTGTTATAAAAGCAGTATAATTATGAGCTTCTGAGTCTAGGACTACAGACTGTTTTCCAGTTTGTTAGGAAGAAGCTACTTATCACTCATACTACATAATCTCTTGCTGTTTTCCTTAGAGAATACAGCCTTCTTTGTCAGAAATGTATGAAGCTTCTTTGAAAGCTACAATAGAAAATGGTGAAAAGAAATTGTAGGTCAAAGTAGGTTTATCGCACTGTTAAAAAAATAATCTATATAGCAAATAAAAAATTTTGAAATAGATTATTCATTATATAATTACTAGTAATAAAAAGAAATTCTTACACAAAGAAAAACCAAAATAATTTTATCAAAGATGCTTGTAAATACTGTTTCTTCCTTTAATGTCTGAAGTTGGAAGGGGTGGTGTGTTCAGGTGACTGAAGGGGAATGGTAAATATTTGTCAGAGGCTGGGAACGATGAACTATCTTGAGTTCTACAACTGAGGATCAATACAAAACAAAATAGCACTACAATTTAGTAATAACCTTAAGGCTCTATTTATACCTAAAAACACCCAGAGAGCATGGCTCTGTAGGAAAGGCCTCACTTGGAGCTATGTTGAAGAAAAGCACCGGTGTGTGATTCTCTAGGAAGATGAGAAGCAAACAAGACCTCAAACACTGAACAATCTACATGGATGATCATAGTAATAGTGAGAAACTGTAATCAAATATAACTAAATAATCATATAGTTCAGGTGATCATGGCATTGGATATGAATTTGAACTATATAACCATTAATTTCATGAGATTTTCTTGGACATAGAGATAAATACAGGCAGTGCTCTGTTTTCATAGTAGTGTAGACCATAAAAGTGACAGTTGAAGCAAAGTGATCTTAATAATCAATGGGGAAATTATAATTGTTTAATAACCTTTAAAATTTTTTTGTCAAAACATTAAAAATTCTCTTACTGTGGTTTATAAATGTATAGGGAATTAAAAATAATAGTAAAAGTAATATTTATTTAGTACACTGCAATGTAAAATACTAGCAATATTGAGAATTAAAGTGTTTTATTTCTTTGTAAAAATTTTGTCAAGAATAGTTTGAATGGTGCTTGCCACCTGTGGTCATAGGATTTACGATTATGAGCTTTTCCATGCCTTAGCGAATTGTTAGATTCCTCTCTAAGTTTGGATCAGCTTCCGACATTTTCTCCTTTTCCCTTTCAATGTCATGAAATATCTCTGCACATTCCTTTAATGTGAAATTTTACCTTCACTAGGACATCATCATCCTTTTCATGACAAACACTCTGCCCATTTATATTGATAAATCATTCCCATCAGCATAATCTACTTATAATGGGTGGACCAGTTTCTTCTATTAATAAAACAAAGACTTCTGCAAGGACAATGCACTCCAACATTTGATTTTACCTACATCCAAAATGCTTATCTTGGCTACAGTTATGGTGAAACTTTCACCGATACTCACAAAGCAGCCACGCTCTCCCTGTGGCAATTTGCAGCTAAATGCTACCTGTGAGCTTTGTGGCAAACTGAGTTAAAGTTCCTCCCTCATAGTTGGGGGTACATCCCTCACCTCGGGTTAAATCCTGATGAACAACCTGAAGAGCAACATGTCAAAACCTATCACCTGCTTGCTTCTATGGGTGGCTGAGTCATGACCTTGTTGGCAAGGTCTCTCTGCCCAGTCCAGGTTTTCCCTACTGTTCTGGCTCCATGAACCAGAGCAGTGTAGCAAGAGAAATACTAGCAGTCGTATGGGCATATTTTATGATAGGATCAGAAAACTCTGACCGTCCTTCTGAAAGTCTCTGTGTTTTTACACAATCATTTGGTAACTCTCTGTTGCATGTCCAAGATACGCACCAAACATCAGAGCTGAAAGGGGCCACTAATACAACTGCTATCATTTAACTTAATAATACTGATGGCCAGAGAGGTTGCAAAGCTATCAGGCAACAGTGTGAGTTCTAATCTCTTCTGTCTCCCAGACCAATACTCTTCCTGTTCATCTTGTCTTTGTTTTTCTTTGCCATTTCTTTTTTTCAATTTAATAGATATTACCAAGTTGAGCACTATGCAACATGAAGTGCACATCTGTATGTGCCACTAAGCATACATACCCACCCCATGATGCTCATTTTTTAAATGTTTTCAGAATACTCTCATGAGCAAAACGCATTCTTAGTTAAAAATGAGAAGGCATGGAAATGATCTGAGACCAGCGAAATGCCCTATGAGAGAAGAGTCATAAAATATGGTGACCTGCTGGGTAAGTTGCCCCACAAGCACAGTCAAGGTTGTGAATTGCAAAGATCCAGCTCTACTTGCCTCACGCTGGGTACGCTATACTGTCAGTACCATCTGGGGGCATCATAGTGTGTGGAGATTCTGCAATAAATGCATGGTAGCTATAATGGTATCAAGAAACAGAATGACAGGGCAAAAAATTAAATAAGACCAGGTTTTAAAATGAAATGCATCTTTACTCTTTCAAATTTGGAAACTGAAATAAATTATTGATATCTGACTTGAGTGAGTGAACATGAAAGATAAAAAATAACTGAGGTAATTTCCTAAGAATTTCAGCACGTACACACAACACACACATATACATACAGACCCACACAACACACACATATACATACAGACACACATGTTCATGTGGACAGCCATCCCTTCTTGACTAGGGTCCATCCGTATCTGGGACCCTACAGATCAGAGTCAATGAGGGCAGTGGAGTGTTCTTTGACAAAGTGAATCTCTACTTTGATCTTATTTACCATTCTGTCCCTAGAATATATTGTTGCATACCTGTGTCCTTAAGTTTTTCATTTTTTTCTTTTTCTTTTAGCACTAGGCTCAAATTGCTTTCCTGGGTCTGGTCCTTGATGCATCCTAGAATCTCACTTATATGTGGCCAATACACTAGGACACTTTTGACTATCTGCATTTTCAATTTTATTCATTAAAATTGCTAGGCCAACATGGTAGGATTTGGTAAACCATCAGCTAATGACCAAGTCCCAAGGGAAAATCTAAATTTTTAAAAAATTGCATCATGTATTCCTTTCAGTTTGGAAGGACATACCTATAACTAATGAAGTGCTTAATGTGGCCCTGCTTTTTTTTGGACAGAATGATCGGTTTTATACATAAAATATTTCTAATATAAAAACATCTCCACTTATGTTACCCTATTCATGCCTTCATAGACATCCAAGACTTCTAGGCCACACTGAAAACCTAAATGCAGGTGAATATCTGACAAAGATATTGGAGGTAAAATTGGATTAGGAGTCAGGCATCTAGAAACATATCTGTCTTGGGGCTCAGTTTCCTCATCTGTAGAGAGAAGGCATTGGGTTAGAATTTGTTTCTTTACTACTACACGTTGGCTACCTTATATGCTTTATTGGCCATAGAAATTTTAGCCTAGCTCCTCTTCCTCATCCTCTGTAAAACACAATTGTAGATAACTGCCTAGCTCTGCCTGGATCCAGATAACTGCCTAGGTCTGAACCTTGTGTAGGGTCAGCAAGCTCACCCTAAGATGCCTTCTGGCTCTAAGAGTGAAGGCTGAGTGTAGAGCATGGGTGGCAAAGTGCAGAGTAAGATAAGATCTCCCAAATAAAAATAATGCCCAGGACTATAAAAGGCCAGCTGAAATTCTATTCTCTCACTAAAAACTGTACTACAAGAAATTTGATCCCCAAACCCAATATTAACGGTGTAATTAAAGGGAAGGGAAGCAGAAAAGGAAGGGAAGAAAAAAGGAAGGGAGGGAGGGATGGAGAGAAAGAGGGAGAAAGGAAATATGTAAATTTGATGAAACTTTTTTTTCCCTCAGAGGAAAGAGGTGTGATGATTAATAATATAATAATGTCCCATCACACAGAAAGTTTCTCTTTCTATCAAAATATGTAAGGCAGAATCTTTTTTTGATTCTCCACTCATCAAAAGATATTTGGCTTATTACCTTCAAAATCCACATCTCCAGCTAATCTTGCCTTTCCCGTCACTGGATCGCGGACATAGTTGATACCCACATCGATTACAGCAGCACCTTCTTTAACCATGTCAGATGTAATCAACTTTGGAATGCCTGAAAACAAAACAGAGTCGTAAACCACTCTTAATAATACTTAAGCTTTGTCCTTGAGTAGATCAAAGGTTTACATATACATCTCATATATTTTTTCTTGTGGCTTTAAAAAACATACAAAATACACTGTTCCTTTAAAAAGATGCCAAGTGTACTCTGATCATTTCTGATCTGGCAGAAGAACAAAGACGATTAAAGTGGCGCATGGCAGCTTCTGTGGATAAAATTCCACCAAGTCACCAACCTCCCCTTTGAGGCGGCCTCCCTGGCTTCTCCACAGGGGTGCCTGCGTGAGCACATCGCTCTGCATGTCGGTACTATAGATAGGGCAGGGAGATTATGGGCGTGAAACCGGCGCCCACTGAGGTTGAGTGGAGCAGGGCAAAAGCAACTTGGAATTGGAGCCAGAGAGAAGAAAGGAAAGGGGCAAGAAGGGGAAAAAGAAAGAATAATTATTCATATTCCCCAGGGTTATGGTAAACAGTAAAGTGCCATAACATAGCGGCATCCCATCAACTTCAAACATGAGGTGCTATTAATATCTTGAGCTTCCTTTTATCTTTTCTTGGTTTCTTTGATTCATTATGTCTGTACATGACGCTGAAAGGTGTAATATATAGTAAGCTCTCCTCAGTATTGCTCCATTCCAGCTTAAAAGGTCGATCTATGGAGATCTTATGTCATCATCTGTTTCCTATACCTATTTTCAAATTTCGTTTCAAGTTACAACAGTACCAGCTAACAATGTTTAAAAAAATGATGTGTTCTTTTTCTTGTTGATTTATCCTGAGTTTTATACAAGAAAAAATCAAGCAACCCCATGAAAAGTGGGCAAACGACATGAACAGAAATTTTTCAAAAAAAGATAGACTAATGGCCAAGAAATATATGAAAAATTGCTTGAGATCTCTAATCATCAGGGAAATGCAAATCAAAACCACAATGAGATATCACTTAACTCCAGTGAGAATGGCTTGTATCATAAATCCCAAAACAACAAATGTTGGCGTGGATGCAGAGAAATAGGAACACTCATACACTGCTGGCAGGACTGCAAACTAGTACAACCTCTGTGGAAAGTAGTATGGAGATACCTCAAAGCACTAAAAGTAGAACTACTGTTTGATCCAGCAATCCCACTACTGGGTATTTACCCAAAGGAAAAAAAAACATTCTATAATAAAGACATGTGCACTTGAATGTTTACAGCAGCACAATTCACAATTGCAAAGATGTAGAAACAACCCAAGTGCCCATTGATACATGAGTGGATTAATAAAACGTGGCATATGTATACCATGGAGTACTACTCAGCCAAAAAGAAACAATGGTGAACTAATACCTCTTGTATTATCCTGGATGGAGCTGGAGCCCATTCTTCAAAGTGAAGTATCACAAGAATCTAAAACCAACCATCACATGTACTCACCATTAAATTGGCATTAATTGATCAACACTTAAGTGCACATATGGAAGTAACATTCATTGGGTGCCACACAGGTGGGGAGGGAGGAGGGGATGGGTAAATTCACATCTAAAGGGTGCAGTGTGCACTATCTGGGGGATGGGCATGCTTACAGCTCTGACTTGGGCAGTGCAAAGGCAATGTATGTAACCAAAGTGTTTGTACCCCATAATATTCTGAAATTTAAAAAATCATAGCAATACCTAAAGCACACAGGGCACTAGTCTACACACAGGAGCTAAGTTTTCCCTAATGAAAAGATGTAACCAATACCTCTTGAGCAAGTGTGAGGCTATATCCTTATTCTCACCAATTAGAACCCTAACTAGGTGTTTTCATATGCTTATTTGACAACCTCAGAATTGAGTTCAAATAAATTTTAAAAAAAAGTAATCCCTCCTCTATGGATCTTCCTATCATAGTCATCTTTAAGTCTTTATGAAACAGCTCAGTCAAGCCATCCTGATAAAAGAAAGCACTGTATTTACACATCACTTTAATTAGTAGAGTTCAAAGAGCTGTGTAAACATTATCTAATTAAACTTCACAACAATTCAGTGAAGCAAGAAAAGGTTTACCCATTATCCTCATTCACAAAAGAGAGATTTTTGAGGTGCTGAGAGGCTAAATGATTTCTTAGTTTCACAATGATGAGTCAGAGGTGAGGCTGGGAACAAAACTAGAACTCTAATTCAGATATAAAAGTAGCACCACGGAAATGCTTATTCAGGTGGATCACTCCTTCATCTGGAAGTTGTCCTGCTAAATAAATAATGAGAGTAATTGGAATGGAATTTATATTAATGTATAAGTTCCTTTGTACATTAGAAAAACTTTCTTCAGCATTATTTGCTTTGCAGACAGCAATATGATGGCTAAATGCATCTTAGCTAAATAGAGCCTGTATTAGTAATAAGAGCACTTCAGTGTCTTCTCCTAAGGATCCTCCTGCTATTTCTAGGAATCTTTAAGAAGTGTTTACAAACTAATGAGTCAATGGCAGTGACCACAGAGGATATCTTGTTTCTTTTCCCTTTGCCTGGCTTTTTGAGTTCCTGTCTGATACCTGTATGCCTGTGACACCAGTTGTGAGAACAATGCCCATGCCAGGGACACTATGTGAATGCTCCCCACACCATTACTCCTTGGGGCACCAGAATGGTGCTGGGTTCCTTACAGAGCTTAGTGCCAGCAGGGCTCTACTGTGTGTCATATTTGATCACCTAGGGATATGGAATCCCTTTGTATTTAGAAATTCAAAGGATCATTTGAGTAGTTCCATCAGCTTCTACCTTGAACCATTTTTCTGCAAAGCCAATGGACATGTAGGATTCAAATGCTTCTCTTTTCTTCCTTCCATCAATCAAATCTTATTCTCTGCACACAAACATTGGTGCACGTGGATTATGGGGAGAGCTTGGAGGCCAGTGGGGGCAAGAAGCAACATAGAGTATTAAAATCAAATGGAATGGGTTTCAAACATTTTTGGACCCTTTCTTTAAACGAATGATATTTTCCAAGCTTAGTGTGTAAAATGATCAAAACAAAGAGAGATGTATTAGTTGAAAAGAAAAGGTGGAGGGGAGCTCTGCAACCAGCCAAATGCCCCTTAGTTTCCTCAGTGCTCAATTTGAAAACTAGTGAGTCCAATCCCTGTGTTGTTGTTGTTGCTTATATAGATTTAGAGAGTAAAAGTGCAGTTTTGTTATATAGATGTGTAATATTACACAAGTGGTAAAGTCTGGGCTTTTTGTGTACCCATCACTCAAATATCGTGTTTCCCCGATAGTAAGACAGGTATTATATTATTTCCTCAAGAAGACACCCTAGGGCTTATTTACAGGGGATGTGTTATTTTTTTTACATTCGGTATAACAATCTACATTTATTCAAATATAGTTAAGTCATCTTCTTCTGGAACATCATCATAACTCTCCAAACCTCAAATTCCATCCTGAATTTCTTATGACTCTATTTCCTTTAGAACCATTGGCCCCAATCTCTCATGTCGAGCACTAGAGCTCTCATTAAATGAGCAGCTCTTATCCATGTCACCTGCTCGGAGTGCATTGGTAACACACTGTCAGTGATTTATCCCATGAATTCTTCACCCAAATCACGCTCTCTTGCAGGCGAGGCTTCAAGTTTCCACGCTGATTTCTTGTCATTCTCCTTTCAATGTAGTCATTATTTCCAGTGCACAAATGGTCTGAATGGCTTGTTTATGCAATAGCAAGAGCTGCAGATAGGCAAGTCATTCCTGCAGGAATCATTATTTGATCTATGCCTGGTGTTTGTGGGGGCGAGAGAGGCCCACACGCTGAGTAAAATGCAGCCACAGCTTTCCTTCTTCCCCCTGGGGACACACAACACCACTCCTCACTGCACTGCGGAGACTGTCCCCTCAAAGCTCAGCTGGCAGCACGCACAGGATGGCCGGGACCTGACAGGGGGAGCCGACCTTGGTGGTGGGGCTGCCGCACCTTTCCAGTCACCTCTGGGATAGTCGCTGTCACGACAGGGCAGATGAGAAGGGCTGCTCGTGTTCTTTCCTGCTCCGCGGGGACATGCATAGGTTGTGCAGGTGCGCTGCGTGGCCACACCCGTCACTAGGTCTTATTTTCGGGGTAGAGCTTATATTGTGCAAATGCTTAGAAATCCTGCTAGGACTTATTTTATGGGTAAGTCTTATTTTCGGGGAAAATAATAGGAATAGGTAATTTCGGGGAAATAATAGGAATAGGTAATTTTTCATCCCTAACCCCCTCCCACAACTCTAATGTTTATTATTCCACTTTGAATGTCCATGCATACCCACTTATAAGTGAGAATATGCAATATTTGATTTTCTGTTTCTGAATTACTTACCTTAGGATACTGGCCTCCAGTTCCATCCAAGTTGCTATAAAATCATTAATTCATTCTTTTTTTGTGGCTAATATTCCATGATGGGTGAGTGTGTGTATGTACACATATACAGTATCACACATTTTCTTAATCTAGTCATTGGTTGTTGAACACTTAGGTTGATTCCGTATCTTTGCTATTGTGCATAGTGCTGAGATAAACATATGAGTGCAGGTATCTTTTTGATATAATGATTTTTTTTCCTTTGGGTAAATATCCAGAATTGGGATTGCTGGATCAAATGATAGATCTATATTCAGTTCTTTGAGAAATCTCTATACTGTTTTCCATAGAGGTTGTACTAATTTACATTACCAAAAACAGGGAAAATTTGTTTCCTTTTCTCTGCATTCTCACCAACATCAATTGTTTTTTGACTTTTTAATAATGGCCACTCTAGTGTAAAATGGTATCTATCTCATTGTGGTTTTAATTGGCATTTCTCTGACGATTAGTGACATTGAGCATTTTTTCATATGGTTTTTGACCATTTGTATGTCTTCTTTTGTCTGTTCATGTCTGTTACTCACTTTTAATGGGTTTTGTTGTTGTTGTTGTTGTTTAATTCCTTGTAGATTCTGGATACCAGTCCTTTGTTGGATGCATATTTTTTTCCATTTTGTAGATT